TCCCTACACTTTCCCTTTTTATTATTGAGTTCAAAGATTATTTCCATGAAACGAATGTTGGTTCCTCTGGATTTTATTCCCTGCACCTAATTCCTCCTGTGCAAGATACCTTCTCTGCTTTTTGAGTTCAAACTTTTCCATGAGACTTAACTAAGGAACTGACAACTTCCTTGCCTGACAGGATAGAATAACAACTGATGTTGCCCAGTAGAGTACCTAGTCCCAGATAACATCCTGGGGACATCTCCTTTACATCAAGTTTAAATGAGAGTCAAATTCCTCTTGCTTTCTAGTTTTACCATAGAAAGTTTTGGAGGCCATGGATACATCTTTTTTTCTATCTCCTTTTCTTCCCCCCTCCTTTTCTTTTCTGCCTACTTTCCTTTTCATCTCCTTACTTGTCATTCTTCCCTCTTGGAGCCTCGATCTCAGTATTTATCTCTGTGTGGGAAAGCTGTCTGTGAAGGTATTTTACTACAGCTCTTGTATTTAGATAGCAGGTACTATTGCTCCAAGTGCTTCTGAACAATGTCTCATTCACTTCTTAGGTCATTTGCTATCAGCCCTGCCACTTTCTGCAGGCAGAGCCTTCAAGGAAGCAAGCAACTGAGCGTCTTCTCTTGCGGGGGCAATAGTGACCAGACTTAAAAAAAAAAGATAGGCATTTCATGGGATTTTCAAAGAGCTTGTATGAATTAAAGAGCACTCTACTGACTCTGGCGCTTCCATAAAACCCACTTGCACCTGTTTGTACGAGTTCTTTCTTAATGCACGAGTCTTATGCGTGGATTACATGATGGGTACATAAAGGCGTTTCACTGATGCCTGTGCACTGATCTTCAAAGTAACACAACAAGCAAATGCCACCAGGTAGCCCATGCCATCTAGCAGTGCACCCTGCAGGGTTGCACATTTGCTTGGCTTTGTCAGAATCGCTGTGCTCCCTCACAACAAAAGGAGCTGGATAACAAGTCACAGATCAGAGCATCTGGGGGTGTTTAACATGTCGGTTCCCAGTATAACAAACCTTGGTGCATCTTTAGAGTGAAATACTGTGTAAACCTGGCAATGGGTACAACAGAGAATGAGAGGAAGGAAGAACTCAGACTAGTGAATAAATAGGAATAAAGAGAGGAGAAGAAAGGAGAAAAGTGATAAGGAGAGGAGACTTTAGAAGATGTTGGCCCAGACAGTAAATGGAAATACTTTTCTGGTAACACTTAGAGGAAGAAAACTTTTGACAAGGAAAGAGGGCGAATGTGGGAGAGAGGGACGATAACACATACAGATATGGCAAGAAGTAAACTTCTGGTTGTCCCCAGTCTTTCATGGCAAGTCAATGGGAACAGGTGAGGAACGAGGTAGGGATCTGCTCAAAGATCTATTTGTGTGACAGTCCTTAGAGCACAGTATTGTGTGGCAGCTTCTAGAGAAGTATTTCACATTCTCCAGGTTTCCATCTTAAAGGTTTTGAGTTGCCTTCTCATCTGTTTGTAATGGCTTTATATACTTATTCTGCTATATTCGCCTGTTATAAAATCACTGTTTAGATGCATTTCAGCATTCATCAGATGCTTACAGATGGCTAGAAGATGTTTTTTATGAGAAGCTTAAAAACTACCTTAAGGTCTTTTGATATGTATGCATTTAAAAACCCTCACATGTCTCTCTGGCAATGGGTCAACCCTGAGGTCCCCAGATTTATTTGGGAAATTGGCTATGGAATTTTCTTCCAAATGTCAGCAGTTATTTAGCCAGCTGTTATCTGTGCAAACAGATATAGCAAACAGCTGTTAGCTGTGCTGCAACCTGTTCCTTTGTTACTGAGTCTTGGTTCTGTCCTGACTTCTTTGATCAAAGACTCTTTACTTCTAACTTTACCTATCCCTGTTGAGCATAAACCCAACTACATTGGAGTGAAGTTGATAAATCCACGAGAAAGAAAAAACATTAGCGTGATGTGTTATGAATGAACGTGACTTGAACTGAGAAATGAGTGTAACTTTGTAGTGAAAGGAAGGTTTTTATTGCCCGGGACTTGAACTTGTCACAGAATCATAGCATCAGGCAATAGTAGAGGTTGAAGGGACCTCTGGAGATTGCCTACTCCAACCCCCCACTCAGAGCAGGGTCAACTAGAGCAGATTGCTCAGGACATTGCCCAGTTGGGTTTTGAATAACTCCAAGGATGTGAACTGTACAACCTCCCTGGGGACCCTGTTCTAGTGTTCAATCATTTTTACAGTAATTTTTTTTTTTATATTTAAATGGAATTTGCTTTATTTCAGTTTGTACCCATTGCTTTCTTGTCGTTCCACTGAATACCCCTGAGAAGAGTCTGCCACCATTTTACTGCCTCCCATTAGGTGTTTATACACATTGATAAGAGCTCCATGAGTCTTTTCTGAAGGCTGGACAGTCCCAGCTCTCTCAGCTTCTCCTCATATGACAGATGCGCCAACCCATAACCATCTTCATGGCCCTTCACTGGATTCGCTCCAGGATGTCCATATCTCTCTTGTACTGGGAGGCCCAGTAGTAGACACAGCACTCCAGATGTCATCTCAGCAGCACTGAGTGGAGGGGAAGGATCACCTCCCTCTACCTGCTGGCCAGTCCTTACCCTCTTCCCTCCCACCTCCAAACAAAAAAGGAAAGGGTTAAGCAGGAAATTGCTGTACATCCTTTCTTCCTTAGCACTTCATAAGAAGACCTCTTGCTTCTCATGGGGCTAGTTCTCAAGAAGGCAGAACATATTTCTAAATGTTAGAGAGAATTTATTTCCTACTTTTCCTCAGACTGCAGTACCAGTACTGTGACCAGCACTGCTCAGTCTGTGTGCGCCAGGGTAACATCAACATAGTCACACAATCTGTCCTGCTACCAGTCCCTGTAAAGCCAAGGCTGACGGCCTGCTAAAGTACCATTAAAACACTTCAGTGACACTGTAATGTGCCACTTCAGCACAATACAGCCATTGCTGCATGGATAATAGGATGGTAGAAACTATACTGATTTAATTTGTTTGGGTACCAGCTATGGTGGCAGCAGCAGCCATAGAAGTCTTTTTGGGTAGCCCACACAAAGCTTGCAACTTCTTAGACCCCATGCCATTTCTGTGACCATCCCACAACCTCCCCAGACTACAGCGCCGGTCCCGTTGCCCAGCTTTCCTCCCTCAGCCCTCAATTTCCCTTAGTCTATGGGGTACCATCAAATTGAGACATATTCCTCATGGTGCCTGTGTCACACTGCTCCTACACTGGTGTCTTAAGAAAAAAGTGGGAGTACCACTGGTGGTGTTACCCTGGCAGAGTGGTACCTCTGTGTTAGAAAACAGCAACAGCAGCAGGTACAGCTGCCAGCCCTCTTTGAATGCAGGACCACAGTGGTAACAGCAGCAGCTCCTAACATAAGATCCGCCAGTGATACTGCTGGTACTTGTGGACCACAGTGTGCAGGGTGCACTGGAGCGATGCCTGGCTCCATCTTGGTGAAATGGGATTAATTATTTGTCATGAATCAGATCTTTCCTTTTTTCTGAGGAGGAAAAAAAATCAGACACTTTCCTTAACTGTCCTGAAATAGCTGTTGTATAGGGCTATGCCCGCAATAATAGACATGGGGATGCAGCTACCACATTCAAACACTGGAAAAAGGAAAACATTTTAGGTATACCCAAAATGATTATCTAAAAAAAAAAAAAGATGAAATCAAAGCAAAGAGAATTTCATTAATTTGTCTTGAAAACTATTACTTGAACTTAAGCAAAGAGGGATAGTTTTCTTGGAGTCTGTAAGAATAAGGAAATGTAGTCTAGTTTCTAAATGAAAAGTTCCTTTGCAAACGCAAATCTGAATTTTTTCCATGGTCAAATATTGGGAGTGTTCCAGATTCTTTTTTCTCTTCATTGAAAGATTTTGCCAGGTTTGACACCAAATCACAAACTACTCTAGTTGTCCTGAACTTTTTTCTTTTGGTAAACCTCCTGTTTGCTGTACTTGAGGAGTGGAGAATGCTCAGCATGTCACAGGAGGAAACTAGCCTGTGAGAGGAATCAAAGTTCTTGGTGTTCCTATTATTTTTTAAGAATTTTCTCCCCGAAATACATTGCCTCCTCAGTCTTCTATGATGTACGAGCAACAACTTCTCAGCAGAGCTTTCATTGTGTTTTGGAAAAATCTCACTTTTTCAATCATATTGCACTCAATAGCAAAGCCCAGTTTTTAAAATGATTGTGTGTGTCTATAAATAACACAAAAAAGACAGTTAACGTTGAGCTTTTTGTAAGTGCCTATCGCTTCATTCTGGAGCAGAGCCTGTGATTTTGAAGTTTTTACCACTGAAGCTACGTAAGTAGGGTGCAGACAGCATATCTAACTGTAGTTCTCTAACAAGTTTCTTGACCTGAAGTTTATGTTTCTATTTCCCTTTCACATCCTTACTTTCTTGAAGGAGGAAAGGCAGAGGCTTGGACTTACAAATATAATCTCCTAATTAAAAAGAGAGTTTTACTAGGTAGAAAATAAGAAATTAATTAATCATACACATAAGAATTACTGTTCAGAAAGCTTAGATAAGTGGAGCCTAGGATGAAGCAGAATTGGGAGGATACAATAGGGTGAAGAAACGCAAATAATGATTTGGAAAAATGGGCTTCTGATGACTCATATGTCACTTCTCCTTCCCATTCCTGTTTCCAGCAGGTTCTTGACGTAGTCTGGAGGAGCTGATGAGCTGTGGAAAAACCAGAACCTTTTTGTGAAAATATCTCAGGAAAGATGGGGAGAACAGTGATACTTAAAAGATAATGGGTAAGCAGAAATCTTTCTGAACAGAATAACTTCAAAATCTTTCTCCAAAACATTGACAAAGCAGTTCCTTAAAATGCTATATTGTGAGAGATAGAGTAGTATATTCTCCGCTTTACTGCACATCTAGCACAGAGTAACATCTACTTCTTTTGCCATTTCACTCAGAGAGTCACTGGTAAAATTAAATTTGGAACCCAGTCTTGCATTGTGAAATTTTCAGTTTTGCCTGCCTGCAGTCACAAAGTTAGCTGAGTGGAATGACTCCTTTTGTTGCCCTTTGTTTATTGCTGTCTCAAGAGGTTCACTAAGAGGAAAATTACACTTAACTTTCATTTTTTGAATGAATATTGGTTTCTAAGTGGCTCTTGAAGTTTATTTTGAATAAACTGAATACCTGAATATACCAACTCAGGTGCCATACCCCAGTATACATGAGTATGCCAAAATAGAGATTCACATATGGGTACAGCTGGGCATGTCGTTTGGTACTCTGCTGAGTGGCAGACATGACATTAGTGAAGATAAGTGTGACTGCAGAGAAGATCAGGTCTTTACAGGCTGTAATTTGTACATACTGTGACTATTTCTTTCAGTCTGAGAGCCAAGCTAAATTGTGCAAAGGTGAAGAAAATAATTAAAGGGGGAAGACAAGTCCCCAGAGCAGACTGAAAAGCAGATTTTTCTTTTCATTTTCCCTCCACCTTTATTTTTTATTGTAGAGAAACAAGAAGAAAGGAGCATTCAAATGTTTGAACCCTCTCTGTTAATAACAATGTTAAACATCACAAGTACATTTTATGGCTACCTACTCATGAGGGAAGGTAAATGTGTTTTGGAATTTCATACCCTACTTTGCTGCTCCAGTTATTTTATGTTCTGGTCCCTGTGCTACCCAACAGTCTATTATAATTTGTTTTATTATTCTATGGCTTTTGTTGCGCGGCTTGAAATGAAATACAGTATTGGAAAAAGAAATGCATTAAACATACAGCGTTCAGTTAGCATGCACTTGTTTCCCATATGTCTTTGTTATCGTATATGGCAGTCTTTCCCCTCTGCTATTCAGAATCCTACAGAAATCAAATATCGATGGAAAGGAGCTATCGAATGCCTGCAGTAGTTAGAGAGGGTTTAAATTCTTATGTCCAATCCAAATCTTAATGTAACCTTCACTTTCCAGAAGGAAATGTTGAAGTCCGTAGGAGCTGTTGCACACAGCACCTCCTTGGATTCGGCCCTATAGCAAGCACCAGCATGTTTCTTCAGAGTTTCCCCTTGTTCTAGGCAGATTTTTCCTAGTTCTGTCACCCCACTATGATTACCTCCCAGAGCTTTTCCTTTAAATTAAGTATTTCACAAGAAAATAACTACTGAAGATTTTATTTAGTAGGGTTCTTTTTAAACGGTTGTTCTTACGAGCCGTGTCCTGCTACGCTCTGCTGGCCGATCCGCTTGCTGCTCTGTTCTTGCTCCCTCTTCTTTGAGCAGTCCTGGGGGGATCAGCAGCATGCAGGATCCCCACGGGATCCTTGCCACAAGACAGACGCTTGGCTGTAATATTTACTAAATTCACCGAAGGCAGGCAGCGATAGTGTATTGGGGTGACCTATCTCCGTGTGTATTAGCCTCATGCTGTAGCTTCCTAGATTTTTCCAAATACAGCCTCAGTCCTGGCCCACTTCTGTCAGCTCCCCATTGCTTCTTCCCCCAAAATGCTTAGAGGATTTCTTCTTTGCTGCCTGAAGTTACTGTGGTGCAGGAAAGGGAAGCAGTGAGTGGGGCTCTCCTGATTTCCTTCTTCACCTTCAAATATCATGCCATTTATGGTTTCAGTCCATTAGATTCAAACCCAGAATGGATAACAGCTACTTTGTCAAGTTAAAAGCCTCACAGCTGGAATGGCTCACCTGAAGGTGTTGCTAGTGTTCCTCAGCTCTGTGGTCTATCCACAATTCACAATGTGGGCAAACCTGGATTAATTGCTGGAAAAATTATCCTGTCTTCAGGGCAATGGGATTACAGAAATAACACTATAAACACATCCCTTTTTTCCCAGTGGAAATCAGTTTTTATAATGTTAGGCAAATATGCCATCCAAGCAGGAGCCTGGTATGCTCCATCACTAAAAACAAAGCAAAAGAGCAAGGGAGAAGTCAGTGCAGGCCTTATCTGTGCGCACTGTTAATCTGATACAGCGAGTCTGTATAGAGATAGATCTCATTTGATTTTGGGAGCCACTTTTGGTTTCATTTTAGCTTGATTGACTGCTTGAAGTTTAAGAAGTTAAGTCTGAGCACCAAAAGTGGACTGAAATGAGAAAAACTGTGAATTATGGCAAATATGGCTACTTTGGTGTAAATCTGTGTGTGAACCCATTTGCTTCCCAGTCAAAGTGTGTAAAATCAATTTACTGAAAGTCAATAGCAAGCTGTCAGGATGGATGGTTTTCATTCTCACCTTGGGTCTTGAAGGCTGACCATTACTCTGTTTCTTCAGATATTCTGTCTGACATAAGCCTTCTATATTTAAAGCCTTAAAAAGCATTATTTTTATTTTATTTTCATTTCTCTCAAAATAAATTGCACAGAATGAAATTTCAGATAGAGAACTGAAAGTCATTTAAGCTTTTTATTAATTCAGCAGTCCTGAAAAAATATACTTGGCTTCGTCTGGAGGGCTGTACAGTGGGTGTTGCTTTTGAACCTCTGTGCCTCAAAATTGATGTTATTTTTTAAATCCTTCAATGTAAGGCAGTGTTCTACAGACCTGAACTCTGCATAGTCACATACTGCTTCATTGTGCTTTCGTATTTGTGCGTAATAGAGAGGCTATTTGACTGCAGACTTCAAAGCCATTATTGCTATATTGTATTTAGTGCACAGATTACAGTGTGGGCTGTTATATTTGAGGTTAAACTTTGGGTGTATGTCTTCTAATTGTCAATTCCTACTGTTGAATTTAATCAACAAATTGTATACACATTCAAGTGTTATTGTAATTTAATTTTCTCTACAGCTTTCATATTTTCAAAGAGAACAATTTGCCAGTTTGATGTATTTATTTCTTGAATTCAGTTTGTGTTGCCAGATGCTCTGCTGTGCCCCTTGAAGTTTGGACAGCAAGTAAATAAAAAAGCAACTCCTTAAAAAAAGTGATTCTGTGTTGAACAAGGAACCAGAGTTCCTTCTCTCCGTGAGTCATATATTGCTCATATTTTCAGAGCATCCCTGCTGTGTGGAAATACTGCCAGAACTGCATGCAATAGAGTGAAATTTGCAATGGAGATTACACACATGATGAAAAAAGAATTCAGATAGCAACAGCTATTTCCTAAGTTTATGCGCAAATCTACATATTCTCCCTAGAGGACCTACTGTCTGAAACTAACCACCAGACATAACTCCAAAGATGTTGCATAGCTATGGAAGAGACTTTTGAAAAAAATTGAGGTGCCATCCTGTTCATGTCATCTTCTCCAACAAAAAAAGACATCTTCTTTTCCCAAGAACCTTTACCTGCCCGTTACGTAGCACTGTCAGTTTGTCCAGTCTATTTTGGTGATTTTGTTTTCTCTCTAGCAGATGGTGATACTGATGTGGCTGCACTGACCTCATTCCTCATGCAGCAAGTAACTTTTGCTGTTACATCTTACGCTCAGCAAACCGGTTCCCCCTCTCTCTTCCAACCCGAGTAGTGATATCCTACAGTTCCGCTGATGTGAATTGATAATGTGCTAAGGTTCATTACTTCCATTTTTTGATTGCCCCAGAAGATATTAGCAAGGTTTCTTCCAGGAAAGAAGTTGCCTGAAACACAGTTTCTGGCTCTTCTGTCAGAGTTTACAACAACATCCTGAACCACTTCTGATGAAGTGCTTTAGTAGCCATGCCTCCTAAGCAACGGATGTACTAACAAATGTCACAAACAGTTCTGTGCTGGTTGAATTACACGGTCACCACAATACACACATCTCAAAATCACAAACTTACCTCCAAATGTAGGTGATTTTTGGAAGTAATAAGGTATAATAATTTTTCTTTAGAGGCTTATCTGTCACTAAAGTATTTTCACCATACTTTTGCTGGTGGGAGACCTTAGCAGCAGTGCAGGTAGGTGTGCGGGTGAAAGTGAGAAGAAGAATGTGTACATTGTGAAATTATGTATATAACTGAAATAGTTTATTATTATTATTATTTATTATTATTACAGCTGAGGCTATTTTGACAAGAAGTAGATATGACAATACCAAAATATTCCAAGAATGTATTGTTTTTATTGAATTGTTTTTGTGAACTTTTTAAAATTAAAAAATCTGGTCTATAAATCAAAATGTTCTACTTTTCTAAGAAATTTTCCTGGATTATATTAAAAAATATACTTAATACATTCCGAGTGAAAGATGAAACAAAAATTTGTTTTAACATTGAATTGGATAAAATGCTTTATTTGACTTTGTATATTTTGCTCAATTTTTTAATTGGCAGAACATTGAAAAAATCAATTATTTACATACTTTATGTTAAGATTGCAAACGTGTTTTGTTTATGTCTGAGCTTACTGGGGAGGAGAGGCATTTCATCTGAGATGATCCTGCACACTGAATGCATGTTCCTTGGCAGTGAAGTGCATTAAGACTATATTACCAGTCAGTGCTTCTCAGCCAATTTTATCTCCAGGTTTCTTAGGGGTTGGGGGGGGGGGGGGGAGGAATTGTATGAAATAGAAACAGGAAATTAACACATTTTCTGAGGCTACCTTCAGTCCTGTTGTTTCTGCTATCACAAAAATCTCAGAGGAGTGAATTTCCTTTTAATGCCCTGCAACTTATCCCTAATTCATATGCGCTGGTCTGACTTCGCTCAGTCTAATTTGTCATGTCTGTTGTCTTTTTTATGGTTAAGCACTTCTTTCTGCTAATAGGTGTTTGCTCAGTGGGTGTATCTTTACCTTTAACCACTGACTCATATACGGAATTATACAGATGCTCACCTGCATTGGATCAACAAAGGAGAAAAAATGGACTGGTTTAGGGGTTAGATTTCCCAGTCGTTAGAATACAAAGGAAAAACAGCTCTAGACTGATGTCTCTATCCAAGATCAACAAGGCAGAACATCATAAGCAGCACAGTGAGTGCGCTACAGCGGCGAGCCCGGAGGAAATAGGGATGGAAATATTCTCAACGTCAAGGTGCAGTGACAGTCAGCTCTGCGTTCGCAGCTGCCTTCGTTCCTCCTCGCTCGGCTTCAACCTGAGGCATTCTTTTCTTACTAATCTCCGCCATCTCTTTTCACTTCAACTTTTATAAGAAAAACGAGAAGATGCAGCAATTTAAGGAACTAACGCCTGCTCCCGCATTTCACTTTGCGCTGCAGCACTCCAGAAGGGTGGTGCCAGCTGCCTTCATGGTGCGCTGTCCTGAGGCATGGGAAGGGCTTTGAAGTCCTTCACATTGTTTTCCCTTTGACTTTGTCTGTGTAAAACGCCTGGCCAGATTTTACAGACCAAAACCAAAACAGTAAAGTGAAGTAGTAATTCGAAGCTGATTTGAATTTGCTAAGAATTTTTCCAATCTCTTTTTTCTTACTGATTTTAGTGAGTTTTCAGTTAAGGCCATAATACCTTTGATTCATAGATGAGAGAATTATGATACCGCAGGAAGAGGCCTATTGGTGCACGTAATTATTCATCTAGTCAATACTAGCATTGTTTTGTTCTCTAAAGTTTTGCTTAGTGACAGCTGTCATTCCCAAACAGTAAACTTCTAGGAAACTGTAGTTTTCTCTTAATTTCACTATGCTCCACACCATGCAATAATTTCTTGTCTTGAGCTATAATAGTATGCATCAAATGTTACTTAATCCTATCATACCTGGCTTAAAAACCATCTAAACTTAGTGTTCAAAAATAGCCCTCTAGGAGTAACAATGCTCTCTGTTTTATTATCTCCATGTAAATGTGGTGTTCAGAACTATTTACTATATTTCCACAATCAGTACAGCAGCACAGTAAGCATTTAGTGTGTGACAAGTACGCAAGCATTTAGTCTGTTAACTATGTGCCTTTTAATCCCCAGTCCATAGATGTATCTATTCTGCCATATCACGGTGCAAATATATATCTAACTTGACCTTGAATATTGTTCTTGGCCAAACTGGAAAATACAAACTGATCAAGATACAGTCATGGTTTAAATTTTGGCTGTTCCCAGAGCAGAGATGGCTTTCCTTTGGACTGTGATCTGATTGTCACAGGTAAATTAAAATGAGCTATTGCTGTTGCTGTTACAGCTGCTGAAAGGCATAGCTCCATTTTTTGGTTGTTCTATTTTGTTCCATTCTTCCAGGATTCAAACCTCCTCCCCCGCCATTTTAGTGCGTCTCACTGACACTTATCTGCTTAATTTATACAAATTAAAATGATTTTGCTGCTGTCTCTAAGCTGACCGATCATTTATTTCAGATTTGAGTAAATATCTAAATGTATGGAAAATCTTTCTGTGATGTGGAATCTAGGTGAAAGATTAGAAATTATTAACTTTATGCTGCCTGTTGTTGCATTTGATCACTTGCGTTGATTATGTCCAAAAACTTATTTCATCTTTGGTGCCTTTTGTAGTCAAGACTAAACTCACATGGTTGGAAACAGCCTAGAGGGGCTGTTTATTTGGAGGTACGTTAGCACTGCTTTATATTTAATGGTAGAGATGTGAATGGGCTTGTTCTGAAGTAATTCTGGGCAATCCATTTACTTCATGTGGCTTATAGAAGTATATAGGAAGATGAAGAATTCTGCAAAGTTATATCCGCACAGCTCCATTCCTTTCAGTGTTTGTATGCTGCTAGAGTGAATTACTGTGACTTTATTTTGTATCCTGTATTACAAGAGATCAGTATTTTGTTTTGTTTTTCCACAGCCTCGTAATTAAACTGCCGGTGAGGAGTAGTAATGACCTGATATTAATGCACTGCAGCATGACCCACATGCACTTTGAGACTGAACATGGAACACTGCAAATTAATCTGTCCTTCTGCAAGGCAGACTGATTCCAAGATCTAATAGAAACACCACTGAAAATATTTTTAAAGGACCTGCAAACATGTAATATATTTCCTCAACATACAAAATTTCATCAGTGTGTTAAGCTATCAGGAGAGTTCTTTTCTGAGCTACTAAGATCAGAAGGTTATTTCATTTTTGCATTTGGCTTTCATGAGTTGAAAACTTTTTTCCTGTCTCCATATGGCTTTTATTTGCTTTTGAATATGTTACTTTAAATCACTGTGAACACTAAAAACTGAGATTTCTAGTTCAGAATAATTAGAAAAGGGATTTTTTGACATTTTAGATTTTATTTCATTGACTTTAGCCAAGTCAAAGCATTGATCTGAGATACAGGACTGTTCATGTAGTGAAATGTTCTAATTTTCGTCAAGGTTAACAACACTGGCTTTACAATGAACGGTAGGGATCATCAGTTCTTGAAGAATGCTTCAAATTTGATTCCTTGTTCTGTCAAGGACTAGATTTTGACTTGATTGCTCCTTACTTGGTAAGTATCTCCTAATTATATCATGAACGAGGCAGTACTCTGGTGTGACAGACTTTTTTCAGCTAGAGGTTACACAATTTTCATGAGTCACTTGAAGCAGAATCTTCCTTCTGAACACGTTCATCTTTCTTGTGCCAGCCATCCGATGCTGCATCCCTTCACATTAACAGCAATCCCTATTTTCATTTCAATAGCGCAGAATCATGTACGACCTTTTAACACAACAAACCCTTGCTGACTCAATGCAGTGTATCCTTATGTCTGACTTAGTATACACTACAGGGGAATGGGATTATCTGATAACTTTCATGGATATAGCCTTTGATTCCTAGTAAACTCCATTTCAGTTTCTTAACCTTCATTTTCAATATACTCTCTACTTCCACAGTGAACCATTCATCCAAACT